CGATTTAAATGTGCAGTGATCCGAGCGGGTTCATGGCTTAGCTAAATATTTCCCACGAACACGGAGTTTTTGCTATGATCATTCATGTCGGTTTTTCGGTGCTTTAACCTCGCAAAACTTGCTTTTAATCTTTCTGTATTATTCATTTTTTAGTATGTTTTCTGTCTTTGCAGGTTTGGACAGATTATAAAAACACAATCAAACAAAAGTTATCGTACAACAATCGCGAGACTATAGCTACCGGTGGTGGGCCGAACACAATGAAGGTGTTATCACCAACTGAGGATGCACTTGTTAAACTGTTGTCCCTGGACAAAACGGTAAATAATTCCGGTATGTATATGCAATCTAAATTAGTTTGGATATGTACAATACATTCATTTATAGGTTCTAGATTTGGTCTGCCTGTGACTGTTACATCACCACTAAGTCCTGAACCGGGTCCCAGTCAACCGCGTAATATTCTGTCGTCACCGGGACCGCCACTTCTCTCCAGTACAATGGAAGCTTAGCCAACCCGACTGAAGTAGATGACCCAGTTGACGAGGTAGTAGAAGATATTGAGAACAACAATAACAACAGCAGCTCTCGTACCGCGCAACGCAAACGACGGCATCCGGATAGCAAGGATTTGCGGTATAACTTGCTGGAACAACAAACGGAATATTTAAAAAAGATCGTCGAGAATACCGGAGAATGCGCACGGTACTCCCGAAAAGTCTTTAAACTGCGAGAGGAAGAAGCGAAACAACGACGCGAATATATGCTACAAAAAACAAAAGATAGACAAGCAGAATTGGAGTTCAAAATTGAATTGTTGAAGTACAAAAAGGAAAAACTTGAAATTTTGAAATACAAAGAGTGTCAGGAATAGAAACATGACTCAATATCGAAACAAACCCACTTTTTAAATAAAAATAAATACATAATTTGAACAACCTACTTGCTTAAATAACTAGTCCGCTTTTAGAGAAAGAAGGTTTTTTGTGCAATATTTCCGTCTTGTTTATTTGGTCAAATTCCGATTAACTTGCTTGGTTTCGTTATTCGGTGGACATGAGTCTCTGAGTCTTCAGCTCAGTGGTTGAGGAGATATGCCATTTAGAAACATGACCTCACAATCTGTGTGTCTGTGGGTGTTTGGATCCGAGTCCGAGATCCCAGCGGCCGTCGGGGTGGGTGTCCGTGGGTTCCAGTACAGTAAAACCGGTTATATTAGCGTCGTTTTATCGTTTCTGACACTGGCCTCATACCGGCTTCTTTCTACGTTTGGTGTTGAAGGATGATCTGTTTTTCTGTCGACGTCGGTGGGGGTGAGGATGATATGGGGATCGACATCAAAAACGACGGAGTGACGTTGATATTGTGGGGTTTCAAAATGAACACCATTGTCATGTACACAATTCTTTGCTTCACCGATAACCATTGCAAAGCGTGCAGCATCAAAGTTGAGAAAGTGAATCATATTACAACCGCATTATTTTATTCTGCAAACGCTGTAATCTCCGAGGGGGGCGACACATCTAAATCTCAAGTTTAGATGCTCAAAAAATCTCACACTAGCGAATCAATCTTCGAAAAATCTTCTTTCATTTGTCGCATCAACTTGCATCGCTCATCATCTTTTTGTAAGAAATCTTCAGAATCGTCATCAATCTTCTTTCTATCTACTTAGTGTGCGCGCAGCTAGCCACAGCAAAACACAATCTTTATTGCATTGTAGATAGAGTCGTCCCCCTCGAGATTAGGGGAGATGATTGATTTGTATATCTGTATTTTACTACTTTTTTGTTTCTTTATTTAAGAGATTTTCATATTTTACGCGAATTAGTTGCCTGTAATTTACTGATTACCAATTCACGATATATTCCACGTAAAGTTGAGCGATAATACAAAACCATTAATGGACCTTACTGACTACCATAACCATTACCATTAATGTTCTCAAATCATAAGTTAAAACGTTCTTATATAGTTCTCTTTCTGTAAATGTATGGAGAAAACAAGAATTTGGAATGGTAATTGTTCTTAACAACCCATTATTTGTAAGGTCCAGTTCCAAAAAACCATAATACATAAGGTTGAAACTTTATCATTAAACGTTCATGTAAAGTTCCATAACCATTTCAGTTAAAGTTTAGCAGGGATTATAAACAATTTTTAACCATTTTAGGTAAGGTCAATTTATGGTTCGCCTTTATGCGGGACTCCTTAAAGTAACCTGGAATATTTTTGAAGTCCATATTGTCTTCTTTCTTGTTTATGATTTCAAAAATGTGGGCTTTTATACTAACTATTTTTCAACATTTATATTTCCTTCATGTAGTATTCAAGCGATAGAGTACATTATTTGCTGTCTTATTTCGTTTGCTGATGCATCATTTTCATCATCATGTGCATTATCTTCAATTTGATGAATATCAATCAACTCGTCAAAGTTATCATCGGGAAGATTAAATTGTTTTCTCAAATTGTGCAAAGCACAGCATACATTAACAATTTTTGCAGCTTTTTCTGGTTTGTAGTGCAGCTGACGAGCTCCTAAGATGCACCTAAACACATTCTTCATTACTCCTATAGTTCTCTCAATTAGCATCCTTGTTTTAGAGTGAATTTCGTTGAATTTAGTCTGCCTTGCATCGCCAGAACTACGGAATGGTGTAATCAAATAAGGTTTTAAAGGGTATCCTGCATCTCCTGAAACCAAATACAAAAAGCCAAGTTTAGTTTTATTTAGCTTGACACACACAATTACCGAAGTTTACCCAAAAGCCAAGTATTTCTTTCTCCATTCTGGTATTGCTGACTCAACTCAACATCTAATGGATTATTATTCCAAATAAACGAGTCGTGATTGGCACCGGGACTGTTTGCATCCACGTAACGGATCATCTGTTTATGATCGCATACCTGAAATCATGATACATAAGTAATTCAAGTTTTTTCAGCAATTAAACATTCATACAAGCATAACGTTCAAACTATGAAAGCCTTTTCTGTTGTAATATAGGTGCTGAATATCACCAACAGGCTTAACAATCCTGACATGCGTACCATCCACGCAACCTATTACGCCGGGAAATCCAGTTTTTTCGTAAAAGCTGTGCTTGATTTCACGCTTTTCGACTTCTGAAACAGGGAATTTTATTGCTGCTGGACAAATTAATGCTTCGAACACATCGATAACAGCGGATAATGCCTTCGATAGTGTGGGTTGTGCCATTCCAGCAAAGAAATCGTTGCCAACACCTTTCTGATAGCTCCCTTCAGCGAAGAATCTCAACGCAGCTGAGAGCTTTAACATCGGCTGCACAGATGAAGATTTGGTTCCTCCTAATTTGCCATCCACAATGTTCAATAAATATCTGAAAAGCTCTTTCGATACACGAAAGTAATTTAAAAATCTGTAATCGAAAATAGTTTTAAGCATTAAGATATCTATATATTTCAGCAAGTACTCACAAATTTGATGGCATATCCAAGGAATTACTCAAATCCCTCAATCTGCGACGCTCAACTCGCACCGTTTCAAAATGTAAATCCTCGATTTCATCCTCCTCATCACTAAACCAAAACTCATAACTACTCTTTGTGAAAACCAAAAAACAGAAAACTCACACAAATCCACGAAACACCGGGTTTGAACACGATTGGTAGATTCACAAAAAAAACCGGATCCTTGAATTAACAACAACAAACCTGCACCTCTCTCAAACAAGGACCAAATTACATGACCGGTCGTGCTATCGAAATGGCAAAGAAAGTTACTTAGAACCTTAAGTTATAATTCCCAAACGATAGAAAAACGTATGCTCTATTGTTTTTATCCGTATCTACGATTTTATTTATTGAAAAAAACTGATATTTATTCCAAAATCAAATTACTGTTTTGTTAGAAAATACTGCATACGCCCTTATCATAGCTTGAGCGATGAACTTTTTCAGTTTGACATTTCTATAAATGAACAGCACTTCGCTGTCGATTCATCCTTCGTCTCGATGCAAAATGAACAACTCGCGTCGTGCGAGTCGACATTCGGAATAGAGTGAGAATTGTCACGCGAGAAGGAAACGAGAATGGTCATCTCGACTCGCGCGAGAAGTGGAATAAACACAATTACCATTTTTACATTTTCCAATAGCTTTTTGTATGGGAAATTGGAAAAGTATTTATTTCAGCAGAATTTGTTGAGTTATTTCCTATCGATTGGCGTATTTGGATTTTTATTTCATCTATTAATGACATAGTAACAAGCGTTCAAAACCTAACACTATTTCGCCAATTTTTTTTTTTTTTTTTTGCACCCCAGTATTGTCCACAAAGACGTAGTTCTAAGTCAAAACAGAAGCATCTTGATAGATAATGAAAGTTACTAATAAATACACACTTTTAGACCATAAACCCACTGAAGTCCAGAAAATGTCTATATAAAAAAAAATCCGTTCCCAGAATCAATCCCGATATATTCATCGTGATGCTAATAATAACTGATTGCCCCATTTAGCTTGAAACTAACCCTATATAACATAACATCGCATAAAAAAATAAAAACACTAGAACGACTTCACATCATAGCAAATCAGTGTTCCATTGCACATCCAAACGGACAGGAAATGAAACGTTGAATCAATTTCCACTCATATCGTCTGCGAATTTCTACGCTACGAGGCACTGTGACGTGGCAATAATAACGCTAATTAATCACTAAGTGACCGTACTGAGGAAACCATCAGTTAAGAGTGTTGCCAAAGGGTGGAAACCCAATCATTTGCATGCATTCTCCACCAAGTATAATTGAGTTGTAACGCGTGAACATGCTTGTGTCCTTCGCTAGGGGATGAAAAGCCAATCATCATTGAAGCTGTATAATTGAATGCCTTTTATCATTAATTGAGGAATTTCGGATATTGTAAACAAGAAGAAGATGCAATTATACTTTGATTCATATATATTTGACTTCACTGTGATGGGTGGGGATGAACATTAGTTCTCCAGCAAATTTCCTCAAAGCTGATAATCACAATTTTCGCACAAGGTTTTCGAAGCATTGACCGGGCAGTGTTTTTCTTTCAGTATAGAAATTGATTTCCCCGATAAATTTACAATTTTCTCATTATTTGTTGATTCTATCATAATTACAATGAAATTATTCAACTAATCGGTTAAAATAGTTTAAAGTAAAAGATGTTTGTTTGTCCTCTGTTTTATAAGTTAGAATAAATTGTATAAAATAAAAGAGTTAAGGTAATCATCGATTGCAATCTTCATAATGTTAAAAGCGACAAGGATGAAAATATACGCCAACGGGGATTCCTAAATAGTATCTATCTCAATTACAATCTAATCTTACACTACAGTAATAGGGTATCATCATATATCATGTGAATTGTTTTTGTTCTTCTTCTTCTCGAAACTAGGATTTCATGCAAATCGTTGTTTGAATCAGCACGTTTGGTACTACTTGGGGTAAAGCCGATTGGTCGGTAATCGTCAAGGGTAAAATGAACCAACATTTGCAACACTGGGATATAAGCACCTTCTCGATTTCTGCTGCGGTTGAGGAGCCAAATGTTTGCAAGCATTAGCGAATGGTATCGTACGATCTGTGTGTTTATGTGTATGTGCTGCTACGTCTTTACGGAGTTTTCAAAATGATGGTTGAACTTCAGCCACGGAAGAACCCAGCGGTGTTACTGCGATTTCCTAGACCAACGCGGCTACCACGGAAGACTAGAGAAATAATAAAAAAAAGGTTGCGATTAGTGAACCGTTTGGCAGATCAGAATATCAAAGGTGTGTGTGATTTTGGTGGTGTATTGTTGTGGTGTACCGAAGATTAAAATGATTTAAATCGAAAAAATAAAAGCATTTCGGGAGACATGAACGCTAACAATTCAATTCAAATCTAAATTATTTTGTTAGCAAATATGTAATACATTTAGCTGCATACGTGCTAGAGCTATTGGAGACCAGAAAACTGTAATCTGGTGTTGGTTCGATGAGGGATGAAGCACGTTTTGAAATGAATCATTGTTTTTATATTCAAATAGCAGATATTCCGACACAGTATGTGATTCAAATAGAATTTGTGTGGGCAAATGTTCACGTTTGATTTTTTTTTTTTTCGTTTCATATTTCCCATTCCACTTTTAATCCCTCGTGCACACTCGAGTAGACATCATGTATGGGAATTCCATTGAAATTCATACATTGATACAAGCAGTTGTGAATTGTTTTCATTATGATCTCCTCGGATTGGAGAACGTTGGTAGAGGAGAGAATAGGTTGGGTAATATTGTTTAACTATTTTTCCATATAACCATGGTGAAGGAATAAGGGTAGTTGTACTGCTAGGTGTTTTTCTTCATTTAAATTTGGACAGCTCTAACAGCAAGCTGTTGTATATCAAGCCTGTCGTCGTAGAATTTGATGCGCAACTATTATTAAAAATTATTGAATTCGTAAAAATCTGGTATATTGACAACCGAGTTTGACTACACTGCCACTATTCGCTTAACAGTCCCATGTCCTGTTGATTTCCTATCTACATGGGACTGTTATGCTAATAGCGGCTGTAAAGCACTTTAGGGGTGATGCATATATTATGTCACGCTCTAAGGGGGGAGGGGGATTTAAGATTTTGTTACTAACAATGCATTAGGTATAGGTAAAACGTTTCGAAAGGAGAGAGGGGGTAATTTTTTCTTCAATTTAGCGTGAAATAATTAATGCATGGTCTCTTAGTAAACTTTCTATCTGATTATCATTTACTCAGGGCTGGTAGTGCTGATGCGATATAATAATAGTGACTTTAGTGACTAAAATTACGGAAATAGTGACAAAATAGTGACTTTTAAATACTAAATAAGTAACCATTTATATGGTAACTTAGATATTCAAATACGGTTTGATATTGAAATAAACTTTTTATGTCATGGAACTTCAAATCAAATTTCATAAATTCCTTTAATTTAACCGAATCTCACAACTAAATCTCTTGTGAAGAGCATTTGAAGTGATTTGAATAATTTACTTTTGTTTATGTTATACATCATCATCAGAATTAAAGTGGACATTTTATACGACTATATACGATACGAGATGAAAGTAAAGAGTTGATAGTTCCGTTATAGTACGGCAGTGTGAAATTTGTATATAGAAAGTAGAAAGCGAACAAACGACAATTTTAGGAAGGTACGAATCGGGTAGAGCATCTCCTTTACCAAGCTCATCCGTTAATGAGGGATGGTGAGGGGTGTTACCTCCTGCCATCACTGGCAAAAGAATGATCGCCGATTTGCTCGTACCTTCCTCAAAATTGTCTTTTGCTCGCTTTCTACTTAGTAAATACAATTTTCACGCTGTCGTACTACAACGGAACTATCAACTCTATAATTTAATCTCCTCATCTATCGTTTAAAATCTCCACTTAAAGTCTGATATTTGACGTTAAGCATCTCCGACTATGTAAATGGTTAAATTCACGCATGAAGTAATAACACATGATTAGTTAAAGTAGATCATTTTCGATTTTTTATTGATTCTTCTAGGAAATCCTTCCATAAATCCATTTGAAATTGATTTGAATTCTGCTTAGAATTTCCATACAATTAACCTCCGAAATTTCACAAATTTCTGCTTAGAATAATCTTGGACTTCTCCCCTGCATTCAATTGGAAATTCAATTCGTATTTTCCTTATATCCCGTACAAACTATGGCTTATATCATGTAATATAGGCTGTCTTGCAATGAGCACTCATACATCTAGTTTTCACTGGAAATCCTATGTATGAGTTCTCATTGCAAGACAGCCCATATTACATTATATGAGCCATAGTTTGTACGGGTTATTAGAATTCCCATAGTATTTCTTCAGAATTCTCAACAATCCATCACAGAACAACTTTTAAACTCATCTCAGAATTCCTTTGAGATTGAACTTTCAAAATTCGATTCCATTGGAATTCTCGGAACTTATTTCGAACTCTTTAGAATACTCTTGGAATTTCAGAACTAATTTTGAATTCTTATTAGAATTGGACATAGAATCCTAATCCAATCATCATAGAATTCTTCTCAGAACTTTCGTTAAACGCACTCTCAATTATATAGGAATTATTTTCAAAATTATTTCGGAGCTAAATTTTGCGTCTCTAATAATTTCAGCAATAATAAAAAGCGACGCTCGTATGTGTAAAGCCAAGTTTAACTACATAGGAAAACCTGGCTTAAGATATCGATATTTATGTAACAGCGTTCCGAGCGCCGGTTCCGCCTACCGCAAAACTTTAAACGCGTTTTTCTCGAAACGGTGTTTTCCAAATTGGCGGGAAAGATAACTCAAAAAGTTCTCATCCCAATGACTTGAAACCTGGGTTGACTGTAAAACCTTCCATGGTTTACAGTTTATTTTCTGGGAAAGGAAGTATTTTTTTTTATCGATATTGAAGGCATTTCCCAATAGTTTTCCTGGTGTTCAAAAGTTTTGCGGTTCACTGGCCACCCTGGTTTAAATGTTAAACTTTTTAACAGATATGTATATTTTGTTAAAACTACTGTAAACTTTCTTAATGCTAAGTACTCAATTTAAACATTTTAGTAGAGAAAAAGTGACTTTAGTGACTATTTTTAGGGAAATAGTGACTTTAGTGACTTTTTGGTGTAAAAAGTTACTTTTAAGTGACTGGCTTCAAAATAGTGACCAAGTCACTAAAAAGTGACCTGCTACCAGCCCTGTTTACTTCATTGACGATAAATTATTGTAGTCGTCATTTTCGATCATTTTTCCAACCGGTGAATACTCGTGTTTATTTCAGTTACCGTGTGGACGTAATTTGTGACTAGCCCCGGTCCCTTTTAAATTGTATCATTATTTATGTACGGTTCATATATTTGAAATGACGTTTCACATTCATCTAGTGATGGCCGATTTTCATTCTAATTATCGAATAATCGATTAACGAACCGAAAAGTAAAATATTTGTAATCGGTTAAATCATGACAATATAAGCATTAACTTCTGCAGAGGATCATCACCGATCATTTCAAACATGTGCTGCACTCTCATTGGTGGAAAAATGACAGCACAGCGAACAAAAAATAATCGATAAGTTGTTAATCGAGTAATTAAAAAATGGGACATCTCTGATTTTGGTGTGATTGTTTTGATAAAAAAGTGCGCAAACTTTCATCTCTACCGAGGGGGCAGCAAAACCACAAAATTACCTTGAATACAGGGGGTATTCATTGGATGAAAGGGACCGAGAAAGACAACACTAAAATAGAAAGTTTGTCTTCCGACAGTTTTATCTTAGTATTCATTTTTGATTTATCATTCATTCAAGTGACCGAGAAAAAAAAATACAAAAGCTTTATTGACCTCTTCCGATTTGGACCAAATTTGGAGGAGATGTTTATTTTAGTCCAGCTGTTATGAAATCAAATTTGTGTGCTGATCAAAGCACCCCTCGATCCAAGGTAGCATTTTCTATTTTCCGAGATTTTCAAGAAAGCAATTCTTTTTTATCAATCCCAAGTAACAATTAAGGTTTTATGAGGGTCCTGTAGACCTCAATTTAGACTTGTAGCTTGCTATAAAACCTTTGTAAAGCTTGCAAAGTTTTTTTGGTATATCTTCGGAGTAACTAAAGCTACAATTAACATTATAGAATGTTTTTATGACAAAATTAGACAAGAAATTTAAATATGAATTCATTTTGTTTGTACAGTGTTGCCAAATAGTTAATATTTGCGTTTAAAAAACAAAAGTGCAATTTTTTCAAAATGAATATGGGTCATTCTAGCTCAATTGGGTACACCACCTGTGGTCGATGTCACCGATTTGAGCCAAACTTAGAAAAAACGCTTATTTTGGCATTCTCAACAAACGCCTTTTTTTTATTTTTCTCTGAAATGCCTAGATCCCTCTCGGCAACAACCCCGGATTTTCGAGATATTTAAAAATGTCATCTTCCAGAAGAAATTACTCCACAACCAAATAAGCTATTCGTGATCTTAGAACGTCAATTTAAAGTAAAACAGCAAAAAAGGTTATCTTCCATTTAATTCCACTTAATTAATTTTGGTATCCATGACAGATACGTATTTCGACTACAATGTGCAGTCTTCATCAGTGTCATTCCCACTAAAGAACTTATCAAAATCTAACCCCCTTAAGTACTCATCCCCTAGGTATAAAAGTCAAGATCACAGGTATATAAATGAAACTACAATGTGTTGAATCGGAACCTACCTAACTAATTAAAACCAAAGATTTAAGTAAGCTAAAGGAGAAAAATCTATTCAACTCTCTAATAAGGAAGATTAGAGAGTTGAATAGATTTTTCTCCTTTAGCTTACTTAAATCTTTGGTTTTAATTAGTTAGGTAGGTTCCGATTCAACACATTGTAGTTTCATTTATATACCTGTGATCTTGACTTTTATACCTAGGGGATGAGTACTTAAGGGGGTTAGATTTTGATAAGTTCTTTAGTGGGAATGACACTGATGAAGACTGCACATTGTAGTCGAAATACGTATCTGTCATGGATACCAAAATTAATTAAGTGGAATTAAATGGAAGATAACCTTTTTTGCTGTTTTATTTAGCATTCCGCTAACAACCCAATTTCATTACTTCGTCAATTTAAAGGTTTTTTAATGTAGATTCTTATAGGTGTACCTACATTTCGTTTTTGTTATAGTAACTACAGTAAACAGGCTGATTACCAGCAGGTATCCAAATTGTCAAAAAATGGCCTATTTTCACCATGGGAGGGCTCAAATTTTCACCACGCTTTGTAAAACTCTTCTTCTTGATGTGATTCCAAGGGCAACTGATTTGGACAAATCGTTTTTGAGATATGACCAGATGAGTGAATGGTAGTTTTGAGCTTTTCTGGTGGAAAATCAATGCTATTTAATTTTTCTTGAATTCCTTCACGCCGATGGCACAATAATATGTTTATGTTTCTTTTCACATGTTCTGGACAGGATTCTCATTGTATGAAAAAAAAAATCGATTTTTTGGACCACCCTTACATGGAAATGGTCACCCTAATGAGAAAATAAAAATAAATACATGTCTAATATTTTTCGATAAGAAACAAAACTACTAATTGTTACGAAATTCTGAAAACCACTATATCGTTTTGCTATGGAATGGCTGTATACAGTACAGTGGTCTATTTGCACCAAAGTATATCTTAAACAACTATCTTGAAGATGAATGAGATAGATTTGGAATTACGGTTATGTGAAGTTATTGAAAGATACAAGGGCAAGATGACGACTTCTGATTGTGAAAAACTGTCAAATACTCAACAATATTGCTATTTTCGGAACGGGAAAGACGTGTAGAGGCCGGAAATCAATGTTTCTGGAATCCAACTTCGGGTTTGTGTCAAAATGTTGAATACCGTGCAGTATGGATATTCTAGAAACGGAGACAATCGTTTCCGTTCGTACCGTATTTTCCATACAAAAAAAGTATGAACAAATATAGTCCAGAAAGTGCCTTACAAATTTGCTAAAGGAAGTACGAAGCTATAATGTATCTAAAAAAAGTTATAACTATTCAAATATTTATGGTTTGAATTAAACACCAAAATCCCTTTTTCTGCCAACACTGCCAATCGTAGTCATATTCCAAACTGAAATATTTGCGGAGTTTCTTATCTTGCCGATTTGGTATGTTCAGAAGAATTATTTAAAAACAATTGCTCTATCTCATACGTGTAGTTAAAAAGGCGGGGGGGGGGGTTAATAATATACCTCCCTCCATCACTCATATCAATAGAAGTGAAGTTTCAAACTAAAATAACTTCGGAGTTGACACCCCCCCCCCCCCCCTCACCTCTTCGACTACGCATATGAGATAGATCTATTGTTTTTGAATATTTCATCCGAACATACCAAAACTATAAAAAAAATTAACTTCGAATTTGGAGTCTGACTTTCATTGGTACACCGGCAGTGTTGGCAGAAAATGGGATTTTTGGACGCAGCACTTCCATTTCAAATGACGCATTTTTTTTAAATTTTTTGATCGACCTTCTAAGATTATGTTAAAACTTTGCACAGTTGTTTATTATTGTCCAACATGCCATTTTACATATTTGGTTCCCTAGTTTTGTACACGACTAACACTTGAAAAAGGCTTATGCAAAAATGATACGCATCAATAGAGAAAACATATATCTTGCGAGCGATTTGTTTGATCGAGAAGCTGTATTGGAAGAAGTTGCGGACAAGAATTGTGCTTTTCAAGAAAAAAAATATACACTGTAAAAAATAAATAATATTTTTAACAAAAAGAAATCAAAATTATAAAAAAAAAATTAAAATTACTCAAATTGCATGTCTTTTTTAAATTATTTTTTATATTTATTTTGCAGTTTAGATAAAGCAATACCTACTGACACTGTGCATTTGCTGGGCAAATCATAAACAAAAAAGTTATGAATTATTGAAAAAATAAGTATTTTCCAAAATACCACTTACAGTTATCGAATATCTTTAAAATAGTGTTAATATTAAAACACATTAAATTAACAACAAAAAAGCTTACAACGCTTAAATTGCCCAAAGCTGTTATTTTCGAGATACTCGTAGGTTAAAATTCACTTATCGCATATTTTAAGAAATTTTCGCTCTTTTGAGATGTTATTCGTGAGTGTTCTATCTTGAAAATATTTTTAACAAAAAGCCCAATTAATTTAAAAAATAGTTTTTTAATCATACGCATGAGTTATGATATAACTAATTAGCTAAACTAGCTAGAGAAAAACTGGGAAATATGGTGGGGTATTTTATTTTATATGGGTACACGTCATCCAGATTCCAAAAAATACCCATATTGTGAGGTATTTGACAGCCTTTTCAAGTTATCTAACTAGAAGCCGCCATATTGGATTTCAAAATAGCGTCAGACATCGATTTCCGGTCCCTACACGTCCACCCGTTTCCAAAAATACCCATATATGGGGTATTTGACAGTATTTTCCAGTTTTTCTCTAACCGAAAGCCGCCATGTTGGATTAAAAAATGGCGTCATACATCGATTTCTGTTCCCTACCCGTCATTCCGATTCCAAAAATTCCCTTATTGTGCGGTATTTGACAGTATTTCCCAGTTTTTCTCTAACCGGAAGCCACCATCTTGGATTTCAAAATGGCGTCAGACATTGATTTTCGATTCCCACATGTCATCCCGATTCCAAAAATACCAATATTGTGGGGTATTTGACAGTATTTCCTAGTTTTTCTCTAACCGAAAGCCGCCATATTGGATTTTGAAATGGTAACGGTCATAAATTGTTAGTATGGGTTCGATGTTTTGAGATAAATTTAAAATAATTATACAAAATGAAAAAAAAAAAAATGTCACCACTTGCACGTCCGTATAATATCAACCTGAAAACACAACCGCTATACAACCTTGGTCCGGTTTTGTGTTTTTCATTTTTTACATACCAAACTTGTTTACCGGTAAACGAAAACCAAACTTAAACCGGGGTGTCGTGTAAACGAAACACGCGTTGGTTTACAAGCTTCGATGGAAACACAACCAGAATCTAAACCAAACACGGTGTGTAGCAGTCGAGTTCACGTGTTCTGCTTTGGTGAACCGCACTGGTACGCAACCGGATTTTTTCCCAACTCTGATTACGGTATATGTGAAATAAGATTTATATCAACTTTTGTGTCTTGGGGTCAAAACTTTTTTCGTAGATAGGTTAAATATCGGCTTCAGCACCCATTGACTGATTCGACAACCAAAATTTAAACGTTAATTTCACTGTATTTTCCCATCAAAACACTTCCCTGAATGTATTCACACGATTTCTTAGACTTTCTGCTTCAATCTGATTTCAGTTTTACGACTGGTCAATCGTGTTATGCCATATTTTTCTTTAAATGAAATAGGGGAAAAGTTGGCTTCGGCAATACCTTAACCTATTATCGTCAGGGGGTAAACAAAGTTCTAGAGCACTCAAATTTGGCTAATAGTTGCTCTGAAACACAATGTATTCACATGCCAAAATTGAGCTCTTAATGACGTTGTTTACCCCCCTGACGATAATAGGTTAAGGTATTGCCGTTGCCAACTTTTCCCCTATGTGCAATAAAAAATGCGGCTGATTTCGAGTTACCGATAATAGAACAGCTGGATAACGCGCAGTTCAAATGGAAAGACTGCCGAAGAAAAAGATGCTGTTACACTCATCTGAGAAGTTTGGTGCGTTGTAAAAACGTTTTCAGCCCGTTTTGGACAATTCTGTCGATTGGAATGGATAGAGAAGCAAGTAGCAGATAACTGTAAACAAAGAAACACGTCATATATTTGCGTGATGCTGAGGAAATCCTAATAGAAGCGTGGACGCTGCTTAATAAGTAAATACCCCTAGTTTGTTGTGTCCAGTGTTGGTAAGCGTGTTCTAAAGCGTATCGAAAATCAACTTACTTTTCCATCACTTTTTCGGTTCCGTTGTTCCTTGATGGAGTTTCAACATTTAACATAGAAGTTGAGAGGCTGACGAAGTATTTGCGGGTTTTTCGGGATATCGATGGGATTTCGGGTGTTGTTGGTTGGTTGATCATGTAGGAGTTTTGGTGTATGTGTTGGTTGGATGGTGTGTTACACAAACATACGCGTCAACGAGCACACATAGATCGTACACAGAAGCTCACACGCATAACAGACATTAAGCATACGTATCGACGTTTGTTTTGTTGTTGCGTGGGTTTGTTATCCGAATAAATATCTATGTTTGTATGTGTTTTAATGTGTTGTTTTGAATTTGTAACAGTCGTCTATTTTGACGCGGCAGTTTCCAAATTTACTTGCGCTGATTCAGACGGGTTTGGCGTACTGTGAAGAAAAAATTAAGTGAATTAAATGATAATTTTAAATGCATTGCGATTTTGGTTAGAATAAACATCAATATTTTATTTTAAATCACATGTGATTAGTATCATTCCGAAAAAAAACCTGTTAGAAGAAAAAAAATCACTCCATTCCTTGTTAGCCATGTAAGTTCATCACTTCATCGGAGGTGTTAGTTTGATATATTAATTTTTATCATTGATCCGATTATCTTACAAAACGAAGAGCATAATCGGAAGGGAAACTGGGACTACAGGAAACCGCAATAGCTGTTCTCGAATCTATACAGTAGGCATCATTTACATAAATGAAAGGAGGACAGGCGAAGCAACGCTCAAACAGCACAATTCAAAGAACACAGTGGAGAAATTATGGGTACGAACTTTTTTCAGCCTTTCTCGACTCCAACGACTTCCATCCCCAAAGACGGAAATAGATGGCGTTTCACTAGTCGATGACAACCGAAACTCTTACATTTTCCAGGACGAAAGACGAGGTTACAATGCACAAAAGTGACAGTTATGACTCATCGACGATGATTAGCGGGATCACGGATGAATTTCACATTGATAAAGAAAAATCGTTGACATCGTACTGAATCTGGATGAAGTTGCTGAGGTTGTTACTCCTACACCTCCGTTTCTGCTTCATGCAAATGAGACGATGATGAAACTGATGATGTTGCTGTCCTAACCTAGATCATTTCAATAGCTCTGCTCTCCTATTGGCTAACTAACTTTTATGACTTTAGCGTAACAAAGAAGTTTTAATTGCAACAATTCCCCCCCACTCTTTACTTTCCTCCCTGCAATTACATTGTATACACACAAGGGAGTAAGAATAAAAAAACAAACTTTCTCTCCTTCCAATTTATTAATAAATTCGACTCCTTTCCTTCGTGCTGAAAATATTTATACTCTTACTTTTCGCTTCATTCAAACCGGAAAGAAGTCGTACAACCGCCAAGCGAAAAGTTCCCTATTTTGCTTACTTTCAATCTCTTCAATCTTTAACTAGTTGATTTAAAATTAGTCCTGCCTTTTGATTCGGTAGTATCCTGATTACATTACAAAATAGTCATTAAGAAAGAGTGTATCGTGTATCTATTAAATAACGTTCTTAGCCATTCGCCAAGGTGATTTACGAGCTGAAACGTGGGAAGGTGTAGAACAAATGAAGAGAAAAAATTAAATCAGAACAATTATTAAACACGTTCGTCGATAATGAAATAAGGAAAGAGCAACAGATGAGGAAAATGTAGGAATATTAGGAGGAAAGGATAGAATAACACAGGACAAAACGAAACACTAGAGGAGAGAGAGAGAGAGTCAAACATAGAACATGATTTGCAGTTGATGAGTAGAATAAAGTTTGAGACGAGTCAAAGATGATTTCGATTTTGTTTACGTGATCCGATGAAATGGAACCGTTTGGTGTTTTCTGATTATAATTAGCTGAATAAATTCCAAGATAGGTTTGACAAATTTGGCAATAAATGCGTCCCATTTAGAATTTCAATTTTTCTTCAATATCCTTATTTTCTGAACGACACATGTCGCTAATTTTTATAGTTCACGGAAAATCGATCGACACACCGTACAATGCAGTTAACCTGTAATACTTTAATTAATACATACTTAAATTTTGTTGCCGAGATGGGCACCACCGAACAGGTCGGCATTTTATTTTGCTGGATCTCTGTGAAAAACTTGCCGAGATTCAGCTAACAAACGGGAATTTTGCCGAAATCTTAGCTAACAAATAAAAATTTTGTTGAATCTCGGCAAGTTTTTCACTGAGGTCCAGCAAAATAAAATGACGAGCTGCTGGGTGGTGCCAATCTGGGCAAACAAATCTAAGTGTGTGTACTCCAGGATTATTTAGAGGACTTTTAATCAGAGCTGGTAAATATCACGGCCATCATGTGACGATGAGAAAACAGGTTCTCTCACTATCACGAGACGAAACTACCTATCATTAGCTTTCTTGTCATTTTTCAATGATCAAGCACTCATGAGAATAATTCTTATGCGGTTTTGACATCTACATTTCTAACTAATTTAGATGAATTTAAGCAAACTACCGTATGTAATCGGTAGAGTGGATATATTATTAAGATTTCCTCGGTACAAGTAACTTTAATAGTATTAAATGAGCTAGTAATTACGATGATCACAACACTGTCACGTTCAGTCATGACGAAAAATTCGATGAGATTTTGAAGAAAATCTCTATCGTCGTTTTCTCATCCAATGATAGTGACAGAAGTATCTCTGTAAAGATCGCGTGAGATCTTTCATTGAAAATGACATTTGCCAGCCCTGCTTTTAATACCGTTCTTTGGTATTGTTATGTGCTTTTTTCAACATACAGAATCAACATTTAGGCTCGTCATTTGAAGAAAACTCTTTGATTGTATACGAATTCACAATTACATGAGATTTTGGAGATATACGTCATCTACGATACACGTTATTGTAGAGCAATTTTGCTGAAGAAGTCTTCAAACGGTGATTTTCTACAGCTGATTTTGGTTGGGGCTCATATATCCCACGGGGTGTGGGAACAAATCGGTCTCATATTACATTTGCTTAATATAATGAAAGCAAAAGCATCAATATTCAAGTACCTTTATGCCCATTACACAGTGGTCCATAACGCAGATTTAGGTGGAAGGATATGATTTGAGCCTGAAATTGAAACTTTAGACTTAAAGTCTCTTCTACAAAGTTGGTCCTTATAAATAGGTCCTCATTTTTATGACAATGAATTCTAGGGTGGTTCTTATTATCATTAAAATCAAAAATCTAACTTTTTTGTTTGAAGAAATTTAGGTATACATTCTTTGGCAAAGTTATAGTAGAGCTGATGTCAAGCAACTTTGTAAAGCGAACTTTTCTGTATCTCTTAAATTGTCCAAATCAGAGCTATTTTCTTGAATTGAGTTAGGGTGTCTCTAAAAAAACAGTGCCCTTTTCAAATGACAAAAAAAATATGCCATGACCCAAAACGTATCGCATAAAAATTCAAACACAGACAGAAATTATCATATTTAGCGTCGATGAATGCAGACTTGAGCAATTTTATCGGAATATAGTTAAGTAAGAAGGGTCAGATCTCATCATAAGTACATTCAGTTTTTTTATTATTATTATTATAGAAGCTGAGCAAGTGGAAAAACAAAAACGAGTAGCTGTCATTTTGTTTTTAAAAGAAGCTTCAAAAATAATCTCCAATAGGCAACTTTTAATTAAAGCTGCCGACGTTTCACTCTATCTAAAAAAAACACGGACAGAGAAATAAACCTGAATAGTATTGTACTAATTGACCGTTTTCAAAGGTTTAGGAAGCAAAAAGTCAAAGTTTTGTCATATTTCAATTTTCCTTAAAGCCATTTCACGACTAGCAATAGAAAAGGGCCCATAAGCTTTTGTAAACGCCCTTTAATAGTGGATTGGAACTCGTCTACGCAAACCAACAACATCAGTTGGTCGGGGAGAGATAGTTTTTTTTAAGTACCTTGGAACCCTGAGTTACCTTAGAATTCAGCATTACTATTGAATACTGAATTGGGAAGTTGGAATAAAAATATACCCGGTAATTTTTTTAAAGTAATTTTGAGTCCAAATTCAAAAAAAAAAATTAACAAATTTAATATCTCATAACTAAACCTTCAATTTAAATATATATATATAGGGGAAATGTAGGTAATGTCGGCCTACATGTCCCTAATTTGGGTCCAGCTCAAGTGGGTACAGAATTTAAAAAAGTTGTGGTCGATGTCACCGATTTGAACCAAACTAGGCCAAAACGCTTATTTTGGCATTCTGAACAAACGCCATTTTTGATTTTACTCAAAAGTTCCTAGATCCTTCACGATTTTCGAGATATTTAAAAATTTCAACTTTCAGAAGATATTACTCCACAAGCAAATGAGCTATTCGATATCTTAGAACACCAATTTTAAGGTATTTTAATGTAGATTCTCATAGGTATACCCACATTTTGTTTTTGTTATAGTAGCTACAATAAACAGACTGATTACCGACAGGTATCAAAATTGTCAAAAAATGGCCTATTTTCACCATGAGTGGGAATTTTTATTTCCTAATATTTTGGGCCCAAATTTCCACTACACTTTGGAAAACTCTTCTACTACATGTGTTTTCAAGGGTAAATGATTTGGACAAATATATTTTTTGGGTGTGAACAGATGATTGAGTGGTAGTTTTGAGCTTTTCTGGTGGAAAATGAATGCTATTTAATATTTTTATTTTTTCTTGAATTCCTGGCTCAATAATATTGTTATGTTATTTTTCACATGTTTTGGGCAGGATTCGCATTATATGATATCATAACTAGCTAATTAATTTACTTCTGTCCAGAATTTGATTGTGTTCCTAAATGTGAAAAATATGTTCCTATGAGATAGGTCAAAACGTTGTGCTTTAGAACTACGATGAAATCAGATAGATCAGCAGGTACTTATATTAAATTTCAGTTGTGGATCACTGCTGCTACTTGAATATTACCCTTATTTGAGTAATTAATTTATTTGTAAAACAAAACCAAAATGTGGGTAAACCTATGTAAATCTACATATAAAAAAGGAAGGATCTAGGCACTTTAGAGCAAAATCAAAAAAGACGTTAGTTCAGAATGCCAAAATAAGCGTTTGGCCAAGTTTGGCTCAAATCGGTGACATCAACCACAAGTGGTGTACCCACTTGAGCTGAAATGAGCCAAATATGTATATAATTTTTTTTAAAAAGCTCATGAAAATGCAAAAGCTATTGAAATTTATATAATCATGGACAAAAATAGTAGATCTTCAACTTTTGGACATATTAATGTCTCCAATATTTTATCCTGAGTAGAAATTTTACAAAAAAGCGTACTTGCACAAAGTTCAAAATTTTTACCAAAAGTTTTTCTTCTACGAAGTTTTTCCAATTTTAAAGCATGCATTGTTTTAAGTATTCCAAAATCTTTAATTTTTTCTGAACTTTTATTTAATTTATAAATATTGAAGATATACGCTATAAGATATTTAAGTTTTTAACCCTTTTTAGAATTTTACTGAAACTTACTTTAGTATGTGTTTTTTTTCCCCCAGAAAGGCTATATTTTTCTCTGCAACTTTGTATCAAACGTGACATTTTCGTGCTAAACTATATTGAAAAATTTCAAATATGCCATTTTGAAAAATAATTCAAAATAATTTTTAAATAATTAGCAAAAATGTGTTATGGTAGCCCATAACACAAAATTATGCAAAGTTTCATGCAAATCGCATAAGGTCAAGTTTTTCCAATTTGTCACGTGACGTGGACCTGCTTTAAATAAAAAAAATGTGGCAAATATTTTGTGTTAAAAATAACAGTTTAAAAATTGCTGCAATTATACGAAAATGTTTGCCAATTTCAAAGTGGCTAGATAGAAATTTTCACAAAAGTTTGCAATCCATTAGGCGTTTGATGTTATAAATATTCAAATAATATTATGGTATTTAAATGTTTACCATATTTTTGGAAAATTATGATCGAATGTATTTGTCAACAACTTTGTCTCAAACATCATTTTGACGTTTTCGTGCAATGATTGATTGAAAAATACTGAATACGTTATTTTGAAAATTTGGCATGATTCAAAATGGCCATATGTCATTGCAAATCATGACAAACGATAGGAAAAACCAATCAGTCTTGGTAAACAACAGCATGTAAAGCTCCTTTTTCGTGAACCAACAACACTATCGGATCGGAGAGGATTTCCCCTGGATAGGCAGTGGTATTTTTGGCAGGCTTGCCTAAACTCCTCGAACTCCGATTATTCATCGTGAGCTAGTTCATCCCTCACATATAAAGAGCAATGATGTAAAATCCAAAGAGCGCAAAAGAGCTCGAGTTCAGATTGATGCTCAAGCTGGACTTTCACAAACACGCATCACCATGAGTGATGCTGGGTGCGTTCTTGAGTGAGGCCTGATTTACATCGGCTCTGCTCAACAAACAATATTTTGATCTTCGGGATGGACTCGGTGAAACCGTAAATATGGAGCTTCGGTATGCATTTGAAGAGAGCACGCACGGCCTTTGATTGATGCACGGTTTTTCAATTCAATATTATGATGCTAAACAATACATTCAATGGACTATAGGACCATTCCCAGAGAACGTAACATTTTGAGAGATTGAAGTTTTTTAAACTTGAAGACCACTTTTTGGGTTACTCTAACTCAGTCACAAAAATCTTTGATCGTTTCCGCTAAGTGCTTGATGAGTGGATAAACGAAATTATATTTCTGACTAAGAATTTACGAGGGGAAAACTAGTAAAATCACTAATTACTCCGTTTATGGATTATCCCTTGGTGATTTTTTCGAATTCTCCTGTTGCCTTTTAACATGCTCATCCATTCAATTTGCTACCCTCGCACACACGGTAGCTCGGAAACCTCTCTGGACCAACAATTGAAGTAGGCGGAACAACCCAACGCAAGCAATGGCTTTAAATATAAAATTATCGAGAAATATTATGAATCAAAAAGAGAATCAAAACACTACCACGTAAACTTAAATCGTTATTCGATAAAGGAAGTTTGCTCTATCAAATGATGGTATTCGATTGTTTGAATGTGCTTTGATTTTAGAGGAATTTGTGTTTAAAGCCATTGTTTTCGTTTGGTTGTTCCGCCTATTTAAATTGATAGTCTAGCGTTGTTTAAATCAGTTCGAGTCTGAATCAGTGCTGAGATTTGTCATTGTCATTGACAGACTTTTGCGCGATATTGACAAAATCCTTGATCCTCAAAAAAATCTTTGTCAAAATCTCATTCATTTTTTCGTCAATGACAAAGATTCACCTGGTAACAGAAAGGGTAATTTCTTGCATTCTGAGTCACATTATTGTTGGTTCAGGCCGTAAATGCTTGTTCACTTTAATGGCTCCATGTAATTGTTTTCCTCAAGCCATTTAATTTCATTTTAAATTTAGCTAACAAACAAATCAGCACATGTTCGTCACTGACAAAAATGCCACTGACAATTGACATGGTTTGCCTTGACGATGACTGTTAGCTCAAACGAGTGACCAAAGCAGAATTTTGAGTATCACCGTGTATTGTCGAAATTGTGCAGCACTGGTCTGAATCGATTAATTCATAACCTTCAGTTGGTTGAACGATGTCCCAGAAACGCAAATCAAATTTTATGCATAAGGAAGAGCGCTACTTCGTCGTAATCGCCCATTTCCGTTCAATAATAGGAGAAATGGCTCTAATGTTGGCCTATGGATCTAAGATTGGGCCCACCGCTAAAAAGCTGCTATTTATCAATTTTATCTAAATGAACGCGTCATTGGAACGGTACTAATGGATATTTTTGCTTGCTATTGAAAATTTAGGCGATTGCTGAATTTATGTATGGGCCCAAATTAAGGGTATTTAGGCCGACATTACATCCATTTCCCCTATCAATGATTTCATCCGTGTTGGAAAAGTTCACCAAAACTCACTATGACTCGCGAACTTTTCCCTTGGTGAACTTCGTGAAATATCGCGATCTTTTCATCATGCACAAAACAATAATACGTTTGTTCCGATCAGTAAGTTCATAAGCCACAACATGAAGCCTATTACAGTGCATTGTATGAATATTTACACTGATTGTTCTCAAAACAAAAGAAGCGCTCCTAGCGAATCCACTTTTTTGCCATCACCAGTTGGACGAAGAAAATCTCGAAGGACGCATTTAGAATCAAGTAAGCAGTGTTAGATTTTTAATAATATCTCAACATTGTTTGACTCTTTATCAAATCCAACGGCATCCCCACCTGTAGCACATACGCTATTTTAAAACTACCTAGTTTGAGTAGAATCCACCCAGATCGGTCAAAACTGTAGCTACCCAAAATATGGGAAAACTATGTTGGGAATGATAAGTTGATTAAAGAATAATATCGATCGGAATCAGGTCAATTTGTCAACTTGTTATTCCCAACATGCGTTACGCATTTTTGGGTAGGTTCAGTTTTGACCAATCTAGGTGGAATCTACCCAAATTGGGGTAGTTTTGAAAAAGCAAGCGCATAGTCAGCTCCATCGCCATCTCTTGAGCGTACTACCCACGATTGTGCACTCAACAGATGGTGATAGTGTTAGCAAGGGTGTTTTACATCTTGAATACGTTATGTCTGTTTGTCTGTGGTTTAGATATATAAAAATATTCCCGCTACAATCGAGATGGAAGACACTAATGGATACCGGTGATTTTATACTTCAGAATGTGTGTAAAAAAGGAAGGTGTATGTGTTATGAAGATGTTACACTTAAATTGTCTAATGTCTCATTGCTGTTATATACATCTCTCTTATAGCGAATTTGTTCATTATCAGAGTGTGAACCCGAGCTTATTGTCAGTGCGAACCTCAGCCCGAGCCAGGTTACAAAAACAAACGTCAACACTGATGTTTGAAAGGCAACAAGCAGACCCAATCTTGATACCCGATCCAGGTTGGAGCTGAGTCAAAAACAAATTCGCTATTAGAAAAAGCTACTCTGGGTGATGATGATTAACTTGTGATGTCAAAGCAACAGAAATATTTAATGCATTAAATAACATGACAACAAAATTGAACATTCATAGTGTTAGTGTTACTTCAAACCCATGTTACGGTAAATTTGCAAATATTTGAAATAGTGAAAATTAAAGAATATTACTTGTTCAATCAGTAGACAGTAGAATAGAAAGTAGATAGTAGAAGGCATCAGTCGAATTTGGCTTGAGCAATGATCGAATTTTCTTAAAAGTTTAATCCAAAGAAAGTTAAACTACGGGAAATAGCATTAATTGTGATTGCTTATTCAAAAGCAACTCATCAACGCATTCATATTATTCGGAAAAATAGAAGCAGCGTCACTTCCGAAATCATCAAAGTACCTTACGCTTAGTTCACTGTATCATTGTCGCTTGCTTTCTGTGAATATTTTGGAAAAATCTAAACTGCAGACGCTGCGACAGATCTTTTCTTACTGTAAAAATTGAAGAATGAAAAGTAACAGAAAGAAAGTTATATTGGGTTTGATTGCGCATTATTGACATATGTGAATGGAAAAAATTAACACAATGGCTTCAGTCACTATTGATTCACTAAAATTCCTTGGCATATTGCAACGGTAACAATCATAAACAAATATGTTAGCCCACAGATGTTGTGCTGCATAACGGTAGATTTTTTTTTTATTCAGTGGATTTTACATACAAAGTGTGTAGATTTGTATTCAAGTCGTTATGTAGACTTTTTACTTCGATTCTGAAGGGAATGGAATGTGCAGAGTAAAGATGTATTGTATGCTCATAAGCACATGGAATGAATGTCAAGAATCAAAAATCAAAACACAAATCACGAAAAAACGAACAATGATTTTGCATGATGACAAAAGTGTGCTATTTTTCTGTGTGAGCGTGTTTGAAATGTATTGGTTTCCATGTTGAGTTTCGGAAGAAATAGAATCTGACTAACAAAGTGTAGTTTGCATCTGGAATAAAGAATCTGGCTTGCATCCAGAACAAATGTCTATCTGTATATGTATCTATGGTTAAGAAGTGTTAATTCCGGAAGAGAACAGAAAGAGCAAGTGTGAGATCTTTAAGTTTTTTAATAACAACATAAGCAAGCGCATGCGCAAATCTAAAGCGCTTGTAGAAAAGCACTTCTTCGATCGGTCTTTCTTGCCGGGTGCACTTTGGTGATCGTTCGTTGTTCAGCCTCGGTGGATGTTGTAATTGTGGTACAGTAGAACTGTCGTCTTGACTTTGTAGGTTCTGTTGCTCGGAAGATGAAGCGGATTTGATAGAGTATGGAGAATTCACATGAAGACGATTGGAAGGAAGTATATGCAATAGGAGAAAACTAAAAACAAAAAATAGTTAAAGACTCACTACCTTTGCTAATTTACATTGGATTTCCGGATTGTTTTTCAGCCTTGCTTTCTTCTTGACTTATTGGTTAAACACTAAAGTTTAGGATGCGAAAACTAGCAGCGTGAGTGCATAAGTGCTAAGCGGCAAAATTTTGAAACGAAAACAAAGAGCGAATCGCTTTCTCTTGACATTGTCATTACATATCCTCGTCGTCGGATGGCGGCGGGCGGATGACGATATTGTCCGGATCCTCTTCCACGTCATAGTCCTGAGGTACCTCGTGAACCTCTTCTTCTTCCTCTTCGTCAACGTCCTCGAGCTCATCCATTCGTTCTTCGACGTACTGCGGTCGGTAGAAGCTGCCACGTGACGATCGGCCATCTTTCTTATCGACACGGACTAATAGGTGTTACGAGCGATTGATTGATTGGTTTATTGGTTTGAATGCATATGACAAGTGTGTGCGCGAGCGCGTGAGCGTAATAGAGTAAGACGTGTTACCAAAAAGAAAAAGAAAGGTAAAACACATATACAGATAGATACACGAATTGTTGTCGGTTAAGAACACGTTGAGGAATGATTTCATGGAGTGTGACAGGGATGGTAGCATTTGAGTGAATCTCACAATAGTTTAACATAATAACTTCTCGACAGGTGGACAGGGTGAACCCATTTAATCACTTACACAAAAGTTTTATCACCAAAAACTGTAACATAATTGGATATCAACCGACAGGAAGGACACGTTTAGTCGCAAGGGAGAAATACGAACCCATACATGTCAAAGAGTTACCGGACCTAAAACCGAATCTAAGCTTCAACCACTGTAGAGTTGCTATCAATTTCGAGATAGATTTCTGACTTTTGAATGACAGGTTCCTCGGAGAGTTGATCCAATTGATTGCCGATCGTTTTGGGAATGCTAGGCTCTTTGGAGACGGATCTCTCCGCAGAGGGACGCCTAGAGCGTATCGGTGGAGGGACAGTCAGATAGCGATAATAAGGAATTGGGTGGCAGTGCTCCGGATCATCTACAATCGGCGATATCAGGGGATCGAAAAAAGACATTAAAGTAGGAGACCTAGAAACCTACGGCTTACGGTTAATTTTCATTTCCTACCACCTTTTCAACGATCAGCTGAAATAGAGATTATGGTCTAACTAACACAACCTTCTCCCAAAAAAACGTATACCGAAACCAGGTAAATAGTTAACCGTCGTTTTGAATTTTGACCTGCATAAACTGGAAATTATTTCCCGCGAGTAAAAACAATAACTCACTTCTATCGATGTTACGCTGCAAATGAGCCGCCACTCGATGGCGGGCATCGTTGAACTCCAGATGCAGACCTAGCCGTAACAGGGTCGTGTTTTTCTCCACCAGATCGGTGATTTCCATCTCGATTTTGTTACCCAGAACTTGCGATCGCTACAACGGAAACAATACATGGTTAGATATTGAATCTATGGAAAGCTCAATCAGCTCGTGAGGAACCTGATTGGAAGCTCGGAACTCCTCGATGGTCATCTGTTTGAGCAGGGCTTTCACAAGGGTCACGATCACCGGTGGGCTGATGAAGTTGGTTTCGACGTTCAGTACCCGCAGGGTGTGGTTGCGTTCGATCGCGCTGGCTAGCAGTAGGGCAGTGCGATCGGTCAGGCCAACGTTGGTCAACGAGAGCACCTCCAGGTGAGTGTTGCTCTGAAGGGCAGCGAACATCTTCTCGTACTGCTCGTCGGAGATGGTCTGCAAAATGGACGGTTGAGAGTTTGAGATTAAACCGAGAATATGTGAAACATTCGAGATGGAAAATATATATGAGGGGGTATTAGTATAATTGTGCCCAGGGAAGTCGAGAAACTTTCCAACCCGAAAAATTCCTTGACCGGACCGCAAATCGAACCCAGCCACCCAGTGACCAGTGCTATGATTTCATTGTCCAGCGAATCCAAACACATAATGCAACCAACGATAAAGACAAAACGCTTGCTACTACTACCACGATAAACTCTCTCTGTATAAAGCTTGATCGGAGCTGTAGAAAGATAAAGCCCGATTCAAAGTAAATTTGGACGCATTCAATTGATACTCAAGAATTAAACAACATACACGGTTGATCAAAACGTCAAACAAAAGGGTAATTCGAAGGATTAATCTCTTTGGCGACCAAATTAACATTGTTTGCAGCATACCATTCTAGTACCTCATTGGAATAGTGGCAGCTGGCTAGATCCGGCCAAAACATAACGTTCGTCTTGTGTTTCCGAATGAAGGGTAAAATCCGCTTTTTCAGATACTCTTTAATGTAAACCTTCGACGTCATTGTGTGAGATGTGATGAAAACCTTGATTTTATGGCCACAACTGTAGATTCCCTGCCAAATCATTAGTTTTCGAGCAAACTTATCAGCAAAAACAAATTTATACCTGGAAGGGACATCCCCACGACCAGTTGCCTGGTAAAATTTTCGTCCGGGGATTTGTTTATAATCCATTTTGACATATGTTTCGTCATCCATTAAAATACAGACATTAAATTTCGTCAAAATTCGTCCGTATAGTAATCGTGCTCGCTTTTTGGCCAATAAATTTTGTTTCAGGGAGCGATCCGGATGTTTACTGGCACAAAAAGACTAATATTCTTCTCTTGAAAGGATGTTACAAACGGTGGAAAAGTTGGAATCGTATTTCTTTGTCAAATCACGTATGGAGACACCTAGGTTGCTTTTCACGTACCTCAACACCTTTCTCCTCAGCTCTTTGTCCCTAAAGGGTGATACGGTCAAAATTTGGTCAATATCAACTTGACGTATTTCTTTCAATTTTGCATTTAAAAAACCTGAACACCCCTCATTTTGAAGGTGTGTGTGTATAGAATGTTGCTCCTATTTTGATTTTGGAATTCATTCTTCTGTTGTCAAAATGCCGTCCAAGCAAGAAGAGCAGCGTATCAAAATTTTGCTCGCGCATCGCGAAAATCCGAGCTACTCGCACGCAAAGTTGGCAAAATCGCTAAAAGTTGCCAAATCAACCGTTACAAATGTAATTAAAGTGTTTGGGGAACGTTTGTCGACAGCCAGGAAGTCTGGATCGGGGGGAAATCGAAAACCGGAAGCCACTGAGACGACAAAGAGAGTTGCCGGTAGTTTCAAGCGAAACCCTAACCTCTCTCTCCGAGATGCCGCAAATAAGCTGGGTGTATCGTCTACAACCGTGCATCGAGCCAAAAAACGAGCCGGACTATCGACTTACAAGAAGGTAGTGACTCCAAATCGCGATGATAAACAAAATACGACGGCCAAAGCGCGATCCCGGAGGCTGTACACGACGATGCTGACGAAGTTTGACTGCGTGGTAATGGACGACGAAACCTACGTCAAAGCCGACTACAAGCAGCTTCCGGGACAGGAGTTTTATACGGCAAAAGGAAGGGGAAAGGTAGCAGATGTTTTCAAGCACATGAAACTGTCAAAGTTCGCAAAGAAATATCTGGTTTGGCAAGCCATCTGTACCTGTGGCTTGAAAAGCAGCATTTTCATAGCTTCCGGGACTGTCAACCAAGAAATTTACGTGAAAGAGTGTTTGAATAAACGTCTGCTGCCTTTCCTGAAGAAACACGGTTGTTCCGTACTGTTTTGGCCGGATTTGGCATCTTGCCATTACGGTAAAAAGGCCATGGAGTGGTACGCCACCAACAACGTGCAGGTGGTTCACAAGGACAAGAACCCTCCCAACACGCCAGAGCTCCGCCCAATTGAGAAATACTGGGCTATTGTCAAGCGGAACCTAAAGAAGACCAAAAAAACTGCTAAGGGCGAGCAGCAGTTCAAGGCAAACTGGCTGTACAAAGTCTGATGGCAGGGGTCAAGCGTAAGGCCCGGCAATTCGGATTTGGAAAAGCGGAAGCCTAACTGAATATTTTTCCTGAATTTTATACTAATTGAACTTGAAAAAGAAATTTAATATGATTTTTTAAATAAACGATTTCACCGATTTACACGCGTTTTCCCTTGACCAAATTTTGACCGTATCACCCTTTAGTGCCACTTTTATGATAGATGCGCTGTGCTCTATCCATACTCAGAGTATTCTTGTAACGTTTGATTACAAGACTCAACGTTGACTTTGGGAATTTTAACACTTTTGCTATTTTTGAGGCAGACCACGAAGGGTTCTTTAGATGTTTGTGCACAATTAATTTTCTTTTCTCAAGTTCCATGATCCGTTATTTCGGGATGCGTCGATCAATCGAGAAAAACTTTTTACCGATTTCTTCGTCAATGAAACATCAACAAATGCCTGTCAAACGTTTTTTGTTCCAACCACCAGGGGCGTGGTGGTTTTTTAAAACCGTGCGTCCCGATTTTCTTTGAATCGAGCTTTAATGATATATTGCTTGTCTGCTTTATTGCAATATACATGGTTGAGGACATAGCTTCATCGGAGTCGAGAAAAGGCATAACATACAAATTCCCATTAACACACGTGTATGAACAATCAATACGAAACTAACGATTTTAAATTGGCTCACTACTTGACTAGCAAACGATTAACTAGTCGAAATTCTACTACTACCAATGTTTGTTTTGATTCGCTATGAAAATTTGACAGATAAAATGAGGGGTTAGTGGATTTTCCTATGTTTCGATTGGTGAATCGAGTAGCTTGGGTCCGAAGAGAGTACCAGAGCTGAGCCAAAAAGTTAAGCACGTTATTTCGGGACCTTCTAGTCTTAGAGCTACCAACAATCAATTCGAAACTAACGATTTCAAATTGGCTCACTGCTTGACTAGCCTATTGGTCCCAAGCAAACGATTAACGTATCCCATTCTAGTCAAAATTCTAGTACTACACTATGTTTGTTTTGAATTATATGAAAGTTTGACAGATAAAATGAGGGGTTAGTGGATTTTCCTATGTTTCGAGGGGTGCATCGATTAGCTTGGGACCGAAGATAGTACCAGAGCTGAGCCAAAAAGTTGAGCACGTATCTTCGGGGCCTTCTGGCCTTAGAGTTACCTCTATGCGTGTATCATCTTCGGCGTTACTTCGGCGGTTCGTTTCCTTCTACCGAGCTGAGCGAGCTTTATTACAAAGGCAGTTAGTCATGAACAAAAAGAAAATTATTGCTTTCCAATGCTGGCATAGCGTTATTATTCGGCTCGGTGGTCGCTTGTCTTTTTTTTTTCATTTTGAGATTTTTTAGATTCCTTGCCATTGTCATTGAAATATTTCATGCGATATTGACAAAATAATGTTTTGACATCGTCACTGGAAGAATTTACTCTCACATAAACCTTCGTCAAAATCTTATTAATCTGTTCGTCAATAACAAATATTCACCTGAATGTATAATTTTGTGCATTCTTTTTCACGTTATTGTTATCCAGGCAGTTGAAGACGTAGATGCCTATTTACTTTGACGGTTCCATGTTATGTCTTGGTAATTTCATTTCATATCCTTACAAATTTAGCTATTAACAAAAGTCGGACATGTTTTCCACTGCTTACATTGTTACTGACAATTAAGGTAGTATCCATTGAATATCATTGTTTGTTCAAGTGAGTAATGGTAGCAGCACTGCACTGGTCCTTTGGAGTTGAATCAAAGGACTTTCAATACTGTCACATAAGGCGTCATGGACAGTGTGTAGTGGTCCAGAATGGGAATTTATCCGGAATAGTAGCACCGACGAACCGACATGCCACAGAAGCATTTCGAACTTTCAAACGGGCGATCAGATCTGTCAAACAAGGTGAGACAAGGCAATATAAATTATACATGGGTTTGTGCCCTTGCTCATGGTATGACGCGATCGGATGAGTAGACGTCGGTAGTGCTTAACGTATTTTAAATATGGCATCTTGGGCACGAATTTGAAAGTAGCTTGTATGAGCTGTCACGTCGGTTCGTCGGTGATAGTAGTGCTAGAGCTTTTTCGACAAAAATTAGTCATTTGGTGTCTATGGTGGTTTCAAACATTAGGGTGGCCCTTACATAATAATATTTTGACAAACAATAAATAAAGACATCTTTTATAAAAAATAAACATAAATGAACGATAACCAAATAAAAGAACTGTTCCACAAATGGTTTGGATGGTACCCCGAAAAGGTCGTTAAGCAAAATAACCATAACAATGTTATTGGTGATATGTTTTTAAGTAAAGATGTAGGTAAATTATTTCAAGCAACTTTGTGAGAGATTTTTTTTTCTCTCTTTCAACGTTCTAATTTAACAGAAATTTTTCAGAATTGAATAAGGGTGTTCCTGAAAAACGTAGTTTTTTTACTCTAAATATTTTGTTTCAAATTTATTGAGAAAGTCATCGTCAAGAAACTTGTTAAAGGACTTGTTAAAAACCAAATTTTTGCCGAATGAGGTAAATTTATATATCTTAAAGGTCACACGATGTTGACAATTTTCTTTATGGAATACCTCCCTTTTAAATGTTAATTACTCAGCATGGGGCAATTACACTCAAATTTTCAAGCCAGCATTTGAAAGGGCACAATTTGGAGTATCGGATACAAAAAATAGAGTATGTTATTTTTAAACCCATATACACCTATCCTTTTATCCGATGTTCAAACTAATGCAACTGGTGTCAAAAAATCAGTAAAATAAGGTTTTCAGAGAGCCACCGAAAGTTTCAATATAATATGCTACACTGTATTAAAACACCGTCCTCTGTTTGAATGAAACATCCAACGATAGCTGCAACCAGATGACGTTTGTTTTGAAAT